AAATATTAAATGATGCAGGAAGCATCAAAAGAAGATGGAAGGAATACACAGAGTCATTATACCAAAAAGAATTGGTTGATGTTCAACCATTTCAAGAGCTAGCATATGATCAGGAACCGATGGTACTGAAGGAAGACGTCCAAGCTGCACTAAAGGCATTGGTGAAAAACAAGGCTCCAGGAATTGACGGAATATCAACTGAAATGTTTCAACAAATGGATGCAGCACTGGAAGTGCTCCCTTATCTATGCCAAGAAATTTGGAAGAAAGCTACCTGGCCAACTGACTGGAAGAGATCCATATTTATGCCTATTCCCAAGAAAGGTAATCCAATCGAATGTGGAAATTATTGAACAATATCATTAATATCACACACAAGTAAAATTTTGCTAAAGATCATTGAAAAGCGGCTGCAGCAGTATGTCAACAGGGAACTGCCAGAAATTCAGGCCAGATTCAGAAGAGGACATGGAACCAGGGATATCATTACTGATGACAGATGGATCCTGGCTGAAAGCAGAGAATACCAGAAAGATGTTTACCTGTGTTTTACTGACTATGCAAAAGCATTCAATTGTGTGGATCATAACAAATTATGGATAACAATGCAAAGAATGGGAATCTCAGAACCCTTACTTGTGCTCATGAGGAACCTGTACACAGATCAAGGGGCAGCTGTTCGGCAGAACAAGGGGATACTAGGTGGTTTAAAGTCAGAAAAGGTGTGCGTCAGGGTTGCACCCTTTCACCATATCTATTCAATCTGTATGCTAAGCAAATCATCCGAGAAGCTGGACTATATGAAGAAGAAACGGGCATCAGGATTGGAGGAAGACTCATTAACAACCTGCGATATGCAGATGACACAACCTTGCTTGCTGCAAGTGAAGAGGACTTGAAGCACTTACTGGTGAAGATTAAAGACCACGTCCTTCAGTATGGATTACACCTCAACATAAAGAAAACAAAAATCCTCACAACTGGACCAATAAGCAATATTATGATAAATGGAGAAAAGATTGAAGTTGTCAAGGATTTTATTCTACTTGGATCCACAAGCAACACCCATGGAAGCAGCAGTCAGAAAATCAAAACATGCATTACACTGGGTAAATCTACAGCAAAAGACCTCTTTAAAGTGTTGAAAAGCAAAGATGTCACCTTGAAGACTAAAGTGTGCCTGACCCAAGCCATGGTTATTTTCAATCGCATCACATGCATGCGAAAGCCTGACAATGAATAAGGAAGACCAAAGAAGAACTGATGCCTTTTAAGTGTGGTGTTGGTGAAGAATATTGAATATACCATGGACTGCCAAAAGAACGAACAAATCTGTCTTGGAAGAAGTACAACCAGAATGCTCCTTAGAAGGAAGGATGGTGAGACTACATCTTGCATACTTTGGACATGTTGTCAGGAGAGATCAGTCCCTGGAGAAGGACATCATGCTTGGTACAGCACAGTGTCAGAAAAAAAGAGGAAGACCCTCCACTAGATGGACTGACACAGTGGCTGCAACAATGGGCTCAAGCATAACAATTGTGAGCATGGCACAGGATTGGGCAGTGTTTTGTTCTGTGGTACATAGGGTCACTATGAGTTGGAAGCAACTTGACGGCTCCTAACAACAAAAACAACAGGAGGATGCTGGGGATCCTCAGCAGCCCAAAGGCAGGGTGTACCACAAACATCGAGGGCATGGCTGGGACTCTGCTGCTTCCCTGGATTCTCTGACTCCATGCCAGAGCCTCTCTGCACGTCAGTATCTTCCTTCTCCTCTGCTTTGGGCCCAAACACGGCTGCCCAGGCCCTGGCTCCAAAATCTCCCCAAGTCAGTGCTGCAGGCACTAAGGGTTCTGAAGCCCCTGAGATCCCATTCCTGGGGGCCATGAGGGGGGTGGTAATGAGGGGTGACCCACTCAGGGGGCACAGACGTGGAGTGTGGTCAAGTTCTCTAAGGAGCTGAAGGGCAGGGAAGAAATGGGGGCAAATTTGGTAAGGCCAGGACCAGGGAAGATGCTTAGTAAATGCTTGCTGCTAGACTGCAGGATGTAGCAAAGGCTGAATGGACACTTTATTCCCACTGTTCCCAGCCATGAACCCATAGCACCTTTCTGGAATCCTGTTTCTTTTTCTCATTTGTTCACAAAGGTGGCTGGGTGGTGCCAGAAGACCTGAGTTCTAATCCAGGCCTGCCACACAAGATTTCTGAGTATCCTTATCTGCAAATAGAGGCTGTCACAATAGCTCCTCTATTGTGTGGGGAGGTTAAGTGAGCTATGAGCTAAGAGTCTAATATGAGGCTTAGTATTTCACATTTTAACACATCAGAAATCGGCAGGCCACGTCATTATATAATTGGCAGTGTGTGCAGTTTTTTTTTTTTTTTAGTGGCACAGAAAATAAGGTGCATCTTATAGTTAATGGCATCGTAGAGTCAATAAGAATATGGGATCATTATTTCTGCCGATCTTGGGCAAATGACACATCAATGGGTCTCAGTTTCCCTGTGGGCAAATCGGGGATAACACCCCTTCCTCAGCCGGCCGTATGAGGCTAAGGGAGATCACATCTGCAGCTGGTTTCTGAAGGCACCAGACCATCCTCTCCCTCCCCTGGCACAGCCGCTTGGCAGGGCAAAGGTGGGCTTCTGGCACACAGGCCGTCAGGAGCCAGGAACCAGGACAGTCAGCACCCTTGTTTGTTTGTCTGTGCAGAGGGAGCCCTCACGCCAGGGCCAAGCAAATATTTGAAGTTATGGATTAACCTGAGTCTCAGGCCGTGATGGCAGCCGGACTGCGGACTTGCGGCTTCCCCAAGGCCCACCCTGGTGAGTCCCCAGCCCAGGACAGTTCTTACTCTCTAAAGCAGGTCTGTGGGGAGGGCCAGACGGAGGGGAGCAGAGTGCTGAACCATGGTGAGGGTCGAACCCTTGAGCCGGGCTTTGGGAGGCTTTCTGGGGCTCAGGGTAAGGAAATGGGGCTCTGCCAGGCCGAAGCACTGGTGGGCACTGCCCCAGATGGAGGCGCCACAGCCCCAAGGAGCCCTCTCTGTGTGCCCCCTTCTTCACAAACTGCCAGACAAGTGGACATTGGCTGATGGCCTCCAGGGCCCAGGCCATCCCCAGATGCAGCTTGGAGCCTAGGATCACCCATTCTCCCTACCCCCCACTACTACTTCTAAACTTGGGGGCATCCCATTTAAACAAATGTCAGAACCAGCCTATGACAGAAGCAGCAAAGGTTGAAAGTGAGGAAGACAGGAATGTGTGGATGGGGCCGTGCGGCCTATCCACTTGGTCTTGGCATCCAGAGAGCTCCTTGGTTACCTTCACAGCCGTGTGGGGAGCCAGGAGTTCAGGCCTCAGGCCTGGAGCCACACAGGCCTGGGTTGGATTCCCAGCTCGGCCACCTCCCGGTCATTGACTTTGAATAAGGAACTTAACTGCTCTGAGCCTCAATTTCCTTCTATGGAATAGAGGGTGATAATATCACTACCTACCTCTTTGGTGAAATAATAATAGCTAGTGTTTTTGTGGGAGCCCTGGTGGCGCGGTGTTTAAGTGCACAGCTGCGAACCAAAAGGCCAGCAGTTCAAACCCACCAGCCGCTCCTGGGGGGGAAGATGTGGCAGTCTGCTTCCATAAAAGATTTACAGCCTTGGAAACCCTATGGGGCAGTTCTACTCTGTCCTGTAGGGTCACTATGAGTCAGAATCGACCTGATGGCAGCGGCTTTAGTTTTTTGGTTTAATGTTTATTTGGAGCAGTGATGGTTCAGTGGCAGAATTCTCACCTTCTACATGATCCCCAGTGAACGCACTTCGTTTGTAGCCACTACCTGTCTGTCAGGGGAGGCTTTTGTGTTGTCATGATGCGGAACAGAAGTCCTTGGGTGGTGCAGATGTTTAAGTGCTTGACTGCTAACCAAAAGGTTGGCAGTTTGATCTCACTCAGAGGCACCTCAGAAGACAGGCCTGGCGATCTGCTTCCAATAGGTCAGAGCCTTGAAAACCCTATGAAGCATAGTTCTACTCTGCACACATGGGGCCACAATGAGTCAGAATTGACTTGACGGCAATCAACACCACCACCACGGTGCTGAACACCTTTCAGCAGAGTTTCCATACTAATATGGACTAGGAAGGAAGGCCTGGCAATCTACTTCTGAAAATTAGATAGTGAAAGCATTGTGGATCACAACAGTCTGATCCATAACCGATCATGGGGATGTCTGACACAGGACCAGGCAGTGTTTTGTTCTGTTGTGCATGGGGTCACCATGAGTCGGGGACTGACTGGACAGCAGCAAACAACGTTTATTGAGCATTTGCTTTGTGAAACCCTGTTTTAAGAGCTTTGTGTGGATTGACTTATTTAACTCTTACAACAACCCTCTAAATTCAGTTATTCTGTCCATTTGACAAATGAGGAAACTGAGGCATGGAGCAGTTAAGTCTCTTTTCCAGCACTGCCATCCAGTCAGTGGTGGAGCTGGGATGTGAACCAAAGTGATCTGGCTTCAAGGCCGGCCCTCTGAATCACGTATAAGTTGCTTAAAAGATACCATATGTGTCCAATAAATGTTAGCTATTATTCTTAGCCCATCAGACCAGCAAAGGCATTGCCACACAACCTCCCCAGGAATGGGGGCACAGGTGGGCCATGAATATTCAGGGTGCACCATGGTGTATGAGGCACTTTCCAAGCTGGGTCTCTCTGGTGTTCATGAGAACTATGTGTGCCCCTTCTGCTTCTTCTCGTACCCCTTTGGACAAAGGGCAGGTGGTGTGACCTTAACCGATACAGAGGAGACTGCAGTACCAGGTGGCTATCTGTGGACACAAAGCCCTCTGCCTAGGGAACAAGCCCAGCCCCGGCTTTAGCCCTGAAAGCAGCAAACGGGGAAACAGGCCCTCTCATCGCGCCTCCTCCCAGGGGGGACACAGGCAGAGTAAGCTGCCAGGAGCTCAGAATCCCTTCTCGGACAGGTGTATGCAACTTCAGAATGTGGCAGCTCATAAGCCTCTTACTGCTCGTGGCCACCTGGGAGATTTCTGGCACACCACCTACTCCTGGTAAGGCCGTCTTTCCCTCTCTCCCCGGGGAAATTTCTGGCACACCACCTATTCCTGGTAAGGCCGTCTTTCCTTCTCTCCCCTGCCTTCCCTGGACACAGCCATCTCTGGCACCTGCCCAGGCCACACACTTCCCCATCTGCTTGGGCCTGGTGTGAGGATGAGGCAAGTGCGGAAGCTGCCTGAGTGTCCTGGGCAGGGCAGCTGTGCAGGGTCACACCCTGGAGTTCTCCCTCCACTCCCCACTCACAGAGAGGCCCCAGGCCTTCCCACTCCACATTCCATCAACTGTGACAGGCCCCCAACCCATATCGCCCAGCACCTCTCCTCTCTCAAATGCACATTTGCTGGGTCACTGCCTTGCCCCTGCCCCGTCTCCAGTCCTCAGGAGTAACAGGAGGAGACCTGACTCACAGGGAGGCCCACAGGGTGATGATCTGCAGCCCACTCTGCAGCCACCTCCCTCACACCCCCAGCCCTCCAGAGCCCACTGGGCTGGGGCTTGCATTTATGCCCTTTCTGGAGCTTGTTATCTCTCTGGGGTGTCCTTTCCTCCCTCTTCCCATCCACTGTGCTTGAGTTCCTCTTTGCAGACTCAGCTCAGCAGACTTCCATCAGGAGGCCTTTCCTGGCCTGCCTTTGGTCCCCACTCCCCCGACTCCCTCTTGCTCACTCCCCTGACTTGACCCCTCCCTCCTTGCTGGCCACTGCACCCAAGACAACACCTCTGGAGCCCAGGGGACACTTGGTCATACTCACTGGAGACAGGTCTGCCTGCCTTGCAGGTCTGCCTGCCCAAGGAGAAGGGCGTGGGGAATGCTCGAATGAAGGGGAGGGGCTTTCCAGGGAGGGGAGGGAGGAGTGGGTGAGGGCATCGAGGGGGCTGCACAACATGTATTCAGAGAACAATGAGGCCAATTTAGCTTTGCACTCCTAATAATGATAATAGTAATAACAACAACGACAATGTCAACAGTATCTGGCACTTGTTATTAGGTGCTTATTTCTGGCCCAGGCAGCTGGGTGGTGCAAATGGCTAAGCACTTGACTACTAACTGAAAGGATGGCCGGTTCAAACCCACCCAGAGGTGCCTAGGAAGACAGGCCTGGCGATCTGCTTCCTAAAGGTTACAGCCTTGAAAACCCTATGGAGCGGTTCTACTCAGCATACCTGGAGTTGCCGTGAATCAGAATCAACTTGGTGGCAACTAACAACTTACATGATTATCTCATCCCCGTTTTTTGGAGAAGTAAACTGAGGTTTAGAGAGCTAAAGGCACTGGCTTACAGTCACACAGAGGTTGAGCTGGGGCTCAGGGGGAGGTCTGTTTGTCTCTGGGGCAGGTGTCCTTAGCAACCAAGTCCCCTGCCCTCAGCAGTCACCTCCTATTTGTGGAGGAAAGAGCGAAGGAGCAGAGGACAGTCTGGTTATCTAGGAACATAATCGTCCCGCAAGGACCTGAGACTAAACCCTTTCCAGACTATTCCCAGCTCCTAGCTCCTCTCGGGCCCCAGCGCCCTCAGGCCCCTCCACCAAAGCCAGCTCCACCCCCTGTCCTCCAGATTCGGTGTTTTCCAGCAGCCAGCACGCCCACCAGGTGCTGCGCATCCGCAAGCGCACCAACACCTTCCTGGAGGAGCTCATGCCAGGCAACCTGGAGCGGGAGTGCATGGAGGAGACCTGTAACCTGGAGGAAGCCCAAGAGATTTTCAAAAACGTGGACGACACAGTAAGGCTGCCCATGGCCTCTTGGCACAGGTGGAGGCCAGGGGGCCAGGCTGGGGCAAGGGCTGAGAACCAGCCTCTGGGCAGGTGGGCAGCAGCCCTTCTGTGCCCAGCTTGTTGGCAGTGGGTGAGTGGGATGAAGAGGACGCTGGCGCTATGGTTTTGGTCAGGCATGTGTGACTGCAAAGACAGAACTCTGCAGTTAGCTCCAGGAGAGGGTGGGCAAGCCCTCGGCTGGGGTTCTCATCCAGCCTCACTGCAGGTAGTTCCGTCCACCCTCCACCACAGCTGGGTGCTGCGGCCTCCCATCTCTGCTCTCCACCACTGCTCCCCCTCTGAGGCCATCCATTGCCCCTGCTGCTCAGAGTTTGTGTGACCCAAGGTCCCCCAGTGTCTGCACATATGCTCTGTGCTGCATCAGAATTCTTACGGGAGAAAATCTGATTGCTCAGAGGATCTGAGGGGAGGGTCAGAGTGGCGCAGAGTCCCTACAGCCCTGTGGAGGTGGCTCTAAGGTGGTAGGATGGGCTAGGTAAGCGATGTGGCTTCCTGATACAAGGCAAGGCTGTCACCAGCAGACTCCCCTGCCCTCACTCCCAAGGGCTAATTCAGCTACTCAGACCTGGAGCTGTGCCACCAGCTGGAGTCCCCTTCCAAGCTGTCCCAGCTTGGCCTGCTCCTTCTCTCCCCCTGCCCTTCCTCAGCTAGCTCCTGTCTGCTCCCCTTTGCATCCCCACTGCCTCTTTTCCCAGCAACCTCCTCAGCAGGCACCAAAATGATTTTCCCCAAACCAGTCTGAGCATATCACACGACTCCTGTGCCCCGACTCTCCCTCCGGAGACAGAACCTGAGCTGCTCGTAGGACACCACGGGCCACTGCCCACCTCAGCTTTTCATCCACTCGCGGTCTCTCTCGTCTCTGCAGCGTGCTTCCCCCTCCCCTTTCTCTCCCAGCACCTTGTGATGGCTTAGGCAGTGGGTCTCAGAGTGGTCACTTGGGACCCGGATGGAAATGCAGGATCTCCGCTGCTCCAAACTCAGGACCAGCAACTGTGCTTTACCAAGCAGATCTGTGCACACCCAACTCTGAAAACTCCTGGCTTTAGGGAACGACTGGATTAGTGAGAAGTCTCAGCCAGCTGCAAGAGGGAGGCGATGGGGCTGCAAAGAAGAAGGGGTTCTAGGGTTGTTCCTGGAGGCAGGAGGTGCGTGGCCTTAAACTCAGGGTGCAGTAGCGCCAGAGGCTGGGGACATGCAAGGGTTCATCCCTCTGGGTCTGGAAGTCCGCCCTCCCTCCCTTCGCTGCTCGCCTAGAGACTGCCGCTGCCCCTTCTTTCCACAGCTGGCCTTCTGGTCCAAGTACGTCGGTGAGTGAGTTCTAGACCCCTGGGTCGGTGCCTGTACACCCATTCCCACCCCACCCCCCGCCGTCCCCTACCCTGGTGTCGCGGTTGACGGGCGGGGCCGTCTGGGCCGCTGGGTGGGCCGGGAAGGGGGCTGGCGGCACTAGTGACCTCCTTGACTCCCGTATGGCAGACGAGGATCAGTGCGCGTCCCCGCCCCCACGGCACTCATGCGACCTCCCGTGCTGCGGGAACGGCGAGTGCATCGACGGCATCGGCAGCTTCCGCTGCGACTGCGCCCTAGGCTGGGAGGGCCGCTTCTGCGCGCACGGTAAGAGGCGGGGCGTCCGGGACAGGGGTGGGGGCGGGGGCCTGGGGCGCCCCGGGACGCTTCTGTCCGCATGGCGAGAGGCTAGACGCCCGGGGCCGGGGTGTGCCCTCCCCCCCGCCCCAGACTAGGAGGGTCGCTTCTGCTCTCATGGTGAGGGGCGGGGCGCCCGGGGGCAGGGGTGTTCTCACGTGGATTCCCGGGAACGTGGTTCGCACTCCCCACGAAGAGACAACCTGTGAAAACGTTGTCGCCCACCGGGCCCGAGCCTGACGGGCCCGTCCTGCCGTCGGCCGCGGTCTGCGAGGGCTGCGGAGGAATGGGGGCTGCCCCTGTGGCTTCGGACCGGGCCTTACCATCCGGCCGTCGCTCCTCTCTCGGTGCAGAGGTACGCTTCTCCAACTGCTCCGTGGACAACGGTGGCTGCGCGCACTACTGCTCGGAGGAGGATGGCGGGCGCCATTGCAGTTGCGCCCCGGGCTACCGTCTGGGGGACGACTTCATGGAGTGCGAGCCCGCGGGTGAGCTGCCTCCCTCGCTTGGCCTCTCCCCAGGCTCGGTTCCCACGAGCCTCGAGCTCAGGAATCTCATCACAGTGTTAGCGTGAGGTGTGCGGCAGACGACCTGACAGAAAACCACTTACTGGAGCGCTGGGTTGTGTGGTGGAGGGGAACACGGGCGTGCTTGGGTGTGTTTATTGGAAGAGCGAGAGACCGGCGATCAGTGTTGAATTTCTTGGTGACGGGAGACATGCCCCCCACCCTCACCCCCCACCCCAGCGAGTGCCAGCGTTCGTGCTCCCTTCCTCTAGTTGCCCTTGCTGCCCTCGGGGACAGCTCCGGGAGCGTGAGCCCATAGGTGATTCTGCCCCAAACCCGGAACCGTGCTGGGAACCAGACATCAAGCATTCTGCTGCATCTGTCTGGGATGGGTTTATTTCCTTCTGACACGTTGTCCAATTTCCATTGCCCCTTCATCGCTTGTTTCTCTAGAAGAGACAGGAACCATGATTCTGCCTTGTGTTATATTTTTATTTTTGAACATTTTTATTTCTATAAAATTTATACATGTACAAAGTTTAAGAAGTCAGTTTTGCAGCCCTTCTAATGAAAAATGGCAGGTCTTTGTTCAAACCTACTCCCCCCTTCTTACCCCTCATTTTAGATCTGCATATATATATATAGCAGCTTACTTTATTTCTTGATTTCTCCGTTTTAAGGATCACCTAAGGACTCCCAACTACAGTAGATGACAGTCTTTCATCATCCTCCCAAAATAACGATGACAAAGTTCAGTTTTTACATTATAATAGGTAAATATAACACCAACCAAACTATGTAGTGTATTTTGATAACATATCCTTTCTTACACATTTTTTGTTTTCCCTGGAGTTAAGAATAATCCTGATTTTCTTTGAGTTTTCTAGGTTATTATCATTCATTTATTCCCAAAATCTCTGCTAGGAAAATAAATCTCCTCTGAATATACTTAAATTCGTCAGGTAACATCAGTCTCCTCCTTCTTCCTCTTGCGCCAATCTGAATGGAACCTCCTTAGGCCTCAGGCACACCTGTTGTCCCATCCACTCCAATCACCATCCTTCTGGCGTTGGATCCTCTTATTTCTAAGATCCTGTGGTGTAGTCTTCTTTCTTGCTGACTCATTTGCTGTTGTTAGAGCACATCTTGCACTTGCTTTCTCAGAAAAGTAAAATTTCATCAGGAAAAGGAAAAAAAATTGAAAAAAAATTTTGTATTGTATGCCTATGGAGCTGTGATGGTTATGTTATGTGTCAACTTGGCTAGGCCGTTGTCATGGATTGAATTATGTCCCCCAAAAACATCTGTTAACTTGGCTAGGTCATGATTCCCAGTATTGTATGATTGTCTATCATTTTGTAATCTCAGATGATTTCTCTCTGTGTTGTAAATCCTATCACTATGATGTAATAAGATGGATTAGCAGCAGTTACATTGATGAAATCTCTAAGATTAGATAGTGTCTTAAGGCAATTGCTTTTGAGATATAAAAGAGCAAGCAGAGAGACAGAGGGACCTCATACCACCAAGAAAGCAGCGCCAGGAGCAGAGCACGTCCTTTAGACCTGAGGTTCCTGTGCTGCGATGCTCCCAGAACAAGGGAAGACTGATGACAAGGACCTTCCTCCAGAGCCGACAGAGAGAAAGCCTTCCCCTGGAGCCGGTGCCCTGAGTTTGGACTTCTAGCCTGCTGGACTGTGAGAGAATAAACTGTCTCTGTTAAAGCTGTCCACTTGTATTTCTGTTACAGCAGCACTAGATGACTAAGACAGACATGATTCTCAGTATTACCTAATTATCCTCCACTTTGTGACGTGATGTAAGGGGAGTTTCCTTGGGAGTGTGACCAGCATCCAGTATATATGGATGTTCTGGCAAAACTCGCTCTTTCTTGATCCTGCATCTGACTCATCATTATCTGACCTCTGGATCTTGGGACGTAACCCAGAAGCCTGCTGCCTGACCTGCAGGTTTTGGAATTCACTGGTTCCTACAGCCCCATGAGCCAGCAGCCTGCTGTTTGACCTGCTGATTTTGGGTTTCTTAGCCCCTGCAACCATATGAGTCAGGAGAAGCCTCCAGCCTGACGCCTGATCCACGGATTTGAGACTTGCCAGCCTCCACAACTACGTGAGCCATTGCTTTGAAATAAATCACAGAAGAGCAGGGCCTGCTGGGGCAGAGCGGGTAGGGTTGCCACTCAGATGACTTAGGAGAATGGGGCTGCCCAAAGCCAAGGGAGCAGAGCTGCTATGCCAGTGGGCCTGGAAGGCAGAGCTGAAGCCCAGGGCCGACGGTCCTGCATCCATTACCTGTTTATCAGTTTGTTGTACTGTGGTGGGATGCCTGTTGCTGTGATGCTGGAAGCTATGCCACCAGTATTTCTAATACCAGCAGGATCACCCAGGGTGGAAAGGTTTCAGAGGAGCTTCCAGACTAAGACAGACTAGGAAGAAAGGCCTGGCGATCTACTCTGAAAATTAGCCATTGAAAACCTTATGGATCATAGAAGAACATTGTCCAGCTTGCTTGCTTTGGACACATCATCAGGAGGGATCAATTGCTAGAGGAGGACATCACGTTTGGTGAAGTAGAGGACCTAGGAGGGCCAGGGAGACCCTTGTTGAAATAACCATAAGGATACACTTGAACTTGCTTATGATTGTATGGATGATGTAGGACTGGACAATGTTTCATTCTGTTGTACATGGGATTGCCATGAGTTGGAGTCAACTCGTTGGCACCTATCTACCTAACATTGGGAAGCGTAATTCCTTCCATTTTTCCCTTTTTCAATATTGTTTTGAGTCTTCTAGGGTCTTTCCCCTCCTGTATAAATTTTAGAATAAACTTGTCCATGTCTACAAAACACCTTGCTGAGATTTTGATAGGAATTGAATTATTCCTGTACATCAGTTTGGAAATAATTGACGTCGTCTTTGATTTCTTTCATCAGCATTTTGTAATTTTCATCATATAGATTCTGTACAAGTTTTGTTATATTTATACCTAAGTATTTCATTCTTTGGTACAGTTGTAAGTGGTATTGTATATTATATTTCAGTTTCCACTTGTTGCTTTCAGTACATAGAAATACAATTAATTTTTGTATTTTATATTCCATGACTGCTGAACTCACTTATTCTAGGTTTTTTTTTTTTTTTTTTTTTGGAGTTTTCTTAGTATTTTCTTTGTAGCAATAATTTTATTTGCAAACAGGGCCAGTTTTATTTCTTTTGTTCCAATTTGTATACCTTTTAATTTTTTTCTTGCCTTATTGGAGTGGCTAAAACTTCCAGTACTGTGTTGAATAAGAGTGATGAGAGCAGGCATCCTTGCTTGTTCCCAATCTTAGAGGTAAAGCATTCGTTCACTCTTTCACCATTCAGTATGATGTTCGCTGTAGGGTTTTTTTTTTTTTTTTTGCGGGCGATACAATTCAAATTTATTCTAAATTCTTTTTTTTTAAATTTTATTGTGCTTTAGGTGAGTATTTCTTGTTCAAAAATTTATACACAAAGTTTTGTGGCATTGGTTACAATGCCTACAATGTGTCAGAACTCTCCCCCTTTCTGTTTCCACCCTGGGTTCCCCATGTCCACTAGTCCAGTTTTCATGTCCCTTCCTGCCTTCTCATCTTTGCTTATGGGCAAGTGTTGCCCACTTGGTCTCATATACTTAATTAAACTAAGAAGCACGTTCCTTATGTGCGTTATTGTTTGTTTTATAGGCTTGTCTAATCTTCAGCTGAAAGGTGAACTTCGGGAGTGACTTTAGTTATGAGTTAGGGCGTCTGGGGGCCATAGTCTCGGGGGGTTCCTCTAGTCTCTGTCAGACTAGTAAGTCTGGTCTTTTTTTTTTTGTGAATTTGAATTTTGTTCTACATTTTCCCCCACTCTGTCTGGGACCCTCTATTGTGATCCCTGTCAGAGCGGTCGGGGGTGGTTCCCGGACACCATCTAGTTCTTCTGGGCTTAGGCTGGTGGAGGCTGTGGTTCATGTAGTCACTGTAGGGTTTTTGTAGTTGCTGTTTATCAAGGTGAGGTAGTTCTCCTCTATTGCTAATCTTCTGAGAATTTTTGTCATGAATGGGAGTTGGATTTTGTCAGATGCTTTTTCTGTGTCATTTGATATGGTCATATGTATTTTCTTCTTTAGCTTGTTAATGTGACAGATTATATTGATTGATTTTTGAATATTGAACCAGCCTTGCATACCTGGAATAAATTCTGGTTAATCATGGAGTATTATTCTTTTTATACATTGCTGGATTCAATATGCTAAACTTTTACTGATGATTTTTTTTCCATCCATCAGCTTTTTATTTTATTTTTTATTGTTGTAGTTTAAATGAAGTTTACATTTCAAGTTACTCTCTCATATAAAAATTTATACATACATTCTTATGTGACCCTAATTGCTCTCCCCAAACTGTGACAGCATACTCCTCGTTTCCACCCCTGATTCCCCATGTGCATTCAACCGGCTCCTAAACCTCTCCGCCCTCCCATCTCACCTCCGGGCAGAAGCTGCCCATTTAGTCTCATGCATCTACTTAAGCCGAAAGCCACACTCCTCACAAGCATCACTTCACGTCCCACAGTCCAGTCCAATCCTTGTCCGAAGAGTTGACCTCGGAAATTGTTTTAGTTCTGGGCTGATAGAGAATCCAGGGGCCATGCTTTCCGGGGTTCCTCCATTCTCAGACCATTAAGTCTGGTTTTCTTACTAGAATTTGAGTTCTGCACCCCACCTTTCTCCTGCTCCATCTGGGACTCTCTGTTGTGTTCCCTGTCA